CACTAAGCCCAGGTGAAGCAGCTTGCTGCCAAAGCACAGACCTTATGAAAGCAGCTAGCAAGCAGCTATACTCCGCTGCTCTTCCTGCTCTACCTCCAAACTTATCCCACAGTGAGCCTTTTCACTGGCACAGTGTTTGATGACCATTGTTGATGACCCATATCACGTCTGCTCTGCAGATACTGCCCCCCCCACCCCCGGAAGGTTTGTCAGAGGCAAGAGCTGGCCACCACATACACCACTTACTTCAGATGGCTTTCTGCTGATGTTGAATGGTATGAGGCAGCCTGGTTTACACCAGTTCCAGTGAGGACTCAATGAAGTGGTAAAAGATGATCTAGCCCACGTTGAAAACCCCACCTGCCTAGAGGCCCTTATTGACCTTGTCTTGTGCATCTGCTCTCGGCTGTGGAAGTGGAAGGAGGAAAGAAGGGACTGCCTGATGCCCCCACATCTATCTGGTGTGCAAAAATCTGTAGAACTGAGTCCTGAACTCATGCAGGTCGACCTGGGTCACTGATCCTTGACCCCAGAGGAGAAAGAACATCAATGGCAGTTGAATCTCTGTTTTTACTGTGGGATGCCAGGTCACACCCTTGCCTACTGTCCTGCTTGGGAAATGGACCAGTCCAGGCCTGGTAGGGGGATACAGCCTCGGCATCACCAGAGCTCTATGCTCTGGAATCACCCTGAAACCCTTGAGTAGAACCTGACCCAGGAACCATGGCATTTCCCTGCATTTCCAGTTGCCACTGTAACTGGGAGGCTTGGAATTGGTGAGATGGATTCCCCTGCAACTGACACTTTGGAGTTGCTGCCAACTGTATAGACCTTAAGGCACCCCAAACACTCCAGATCCCTTTCCAGACAAAATCTACACCAGACCTGGTGGAGATGATTTATGGGCTGCTCCTATCATCAGGACCGGTGATCCATGAGACCGTCCCCTTACAGGCCATAGTGGAGTGGCACTGGGAAATAATATGTTTAAATGTGATCCCCACTCTCCATTCTTTTCAGTAATTCTTGGCATTCTTTTGTTGGGGCAGCATGACCCTTGTATTTCCCGGTGGTGGAGGAACATAAGCTTCTCCTCCAAATATTGCCAGAAAGTTTTCCTCCATTAAATTCACCAGGCCCCAGAATACCCAAGCCCTAGGCCCCAGCATCGGATAAGACTCTTGAAAGTGAGACCCTGGACAGCGGCGGGCTAACCAGAAAGGGGCAGATCTAGACCAGACTACAAATACTAGGACTACCTGGATATGTTTGAAAGGAAAAACACAGATTCACTGCCCCCACAGTGGGGACTATGAGTGTCCAATAGACCTACAACTCGGGGCAGAGGTGTCCTAAAGTTGCATATACACCATTTCTGAACCAGAGCTCAAGGCACTACAAAGGTATAGCCAGGAAAATCTTTCAAAGGGCTTCATTCAGCAACCCATCTCTCCAGCAGGAGCACCAGTCCTTCTTATGCGGAAAAAGGATGGGTCACTATCATAGAAATCCGGGATGGCCAAACGTGGCTTGTGAGCCGCATGCGGCCCTTTTACAGTTAAAGTATGACTTGCATAGCCCCCTCCCCAGCCCTCCCATTCTCCGCCTACCGGACTGGCTGGGAGGGGGGAAGCTTGGGGCTTTTGCCCTGCAGCAGGGTGGTGGGGCTTGGGGCTTCTGCTCAGCAGACAGGGGTGTCTTTGGGCTTCAACCCCATGGGGCATGCCTACCAGGACTTGGAGCTTTAGCAGGAATGGGGCTGAAGCCCCGGCAGGTGCCTCCCGCATGGCTGAAGCCCTGAGACCCCTTTCCCTGTGGGGCTGAAACCCCAAGCCCCACCAACCCGCCTCTCATTGGGCTGAAGCCCTGGCAGGCGCACCTTGACTCTTGAACTTCTGAAGATAGTCCTGTGTGGCTTGGAGGGTCAGTAAGTTTGACCACCCCAATAGAATGATAGGCTAATAAGGGACCACAAGGGTTATCTAGTTTAACCCCTGCAACGTTGCAGGATTTGTTGTATCTAAACCATCCAAGACAGATAGTTCTTCTTCAAGTGATTGCTTATGTCCATTCCATTGTTGGTGTGTGTGCTCACCACATGCACTGGTGCCAGAAGATTTTCCCCCAGTGGTATCCGTAGGGGACTGGCTCTGGCGCCCTCTGGAGCGGCACGCATATGCGCTGGTATAAGGGGCGCCGCCAGCTCCCCCTCCCTCAGTTCCTTCTTATCTCCAATGACAGTGCTGGAACATCTCCTTGCCTCAGGAAACTTTCCTTCTCACCTGTGTCTAGTTGTGAATCTCTTGTATATAGTTCTTAGAAAGTTTGTATAGTTTATTAGTCCCCTTCGTGCATAAGTTAGAAATAGTTAGTCCCCTACTGGACTTAGCCTAGGGATGGGGCATGCCCCGATCCCCGGGCTTCAAGCCTTGTGACTGCTGCAAAACAATTATGCCAGTCAGTGATCCCCATCAAAGTTGTCTGAATTGTTTGGGGGAGAGACGCGTGAGCGACAAGTGCTGCATTTGTAAAAGTTTCAAGCTGCGACCAAAAAGGAGCATGGCATTTGACTTAGAGCACTCCTTATGGAGTTGGCCCTCGTACCTGCCTCAGAGCCAGCTATATCGGACTCTGCTCCAAGCACCGCAGCATCGGTGTGAAGTGCGCCGCCGGCACTGGCCTCCGACCAGCACGGATCCCATCCCAAGTACCAGTTGAAAAGCAAAGAAAGGCCAGGAGAGGGCATTCTCCTACATCCCATAAAGAGAAGGAGAGAGCTGGGAGAGAGCAAAGACCTGCACGGGGCAGCTCCTCCCCTTCAGACAGTGGCCAGTCTCCAGCATCTCTTGGGCTGTTGAGCCCCCTTAGAGACCTGCCCACCACCCCGGGAAGTGGCAGAGGCACTTGGCACCTAGCGGTGCCATCCACACTGGAGGCCTTTCAGGCCACATTGTCCCTGCCGGTTTCGTTTACGTCGGTTAGTGAGGTTCCCCATTCAAGGGGTAAATCCACTCTGGGACTTCTCCAGCAGTCCCCATCGGTGCAGCACTGCTCCCCAAGGCAGGGGGTGCCCCGCCAACGCTCACCTGAGCAGTGCCACCAGCCCCTGGGTATGGGTCAGCTTACCTGTCAGAGTTCCCAGCATCGTTCCCTGGACTCTAGGCAGTGTTCCCCAGGATCCTGGCACCGATCACTGGCTGTCTGGCGCAGACCTGTGGAGGCGCATCGCCAGTCCCCAGAGTCCCAGCACCAGTCCCCGGAGCGGCCGAATCGATCTTCAAACTTGCGGCACCACTCTGGAGAGTCAAGATGCTGGTCCCTGGAATCCTGTCACTGGTCTCTAATTTGCCGCTATGGATCCCCATGGGTACTTGAATGATCTCCTGAGCTAAGACCTCGATCCTCTCACTCCCAGTCCACAGAGCTGCATCGCTCTCAAAGCATGAGGCATCGATCACTGTGGTACTGTTACCATTCCGCTGAATGCCGCTGCCAGTCACAGGAGGTGCAGCACAGAGAGCCACCTTCCCTGTACAGGTCACCAGTGGAGAGGTCTGACGGGAACGGAGCAGACAGCTGGCATCACTATCGTCCTGGTTCCCCTGGCGAGTCTCTCCCTCTTCAGGCTCAGAGAGTGAAGAGAAGGATCTGCCTGCAGGGCAGGGCCACCCACCGGGGGCATTGGCATTCCCATCGGGGCCACCAGTGGCCGCATGGCCCCAAGGTCAATGGCTGGCTCCCTGGCAACTATGGAACCCCTGGGGGTTTCCTCAACCATCGCAGGGGCATCTGAGGAACAGTTGACAACAGTCTCCCGCCTGCTCCCCTGGCGGAGGCTACTGAGTTGGCAGACCTGCCTATACCTGCCTCCTCATCCTCTTCGCCTGATGAGACGATAGCAGGACCTTCCTACATAGGTTCACCAGGAGCTTATACAGAGGGTGGCATCTAACCTGGGTTTGGAGGCTGAGGAATTGGCAGAACCCTCTGACCCCCTGTTTGATGTTTTAAGTGCAGCAGCCCCCTCCAAGGTGGCATTGTCCATCCATGAGGGAGTGATAAAGCTGATCAAGGTCTTCTGGCAAACCCCCAAATCACTGCCACCCATGTAGGGTGAGAGAAAGTATTACATCCCTGCTAAGGAATTTGAATACCTGTATACATATCCCGCTCCAAGCTCACTGATGGTATTGGCAGCCAATGAGCGCGATAGACAAGGCCAACCGGGATTGACCCTTAAGAATAAGGGGACAAAGAGACTTGATCTCTTTGGCAGAAAAATTTATTCTATGGCCAGCCTCCAGTTGAGAGTTGCCAACCATCAGGCCGTTATTTTAACATTTGGCAGTCCATGCCCAAGTTTGCAGACTCATTGCCAGAGTTCCTGGCTATTCTGGATGAGGGCAGAGCTGTGGCCAGGGCAGCCCTCCAAGCGGCCTCAAATACAGCAGACTCGGCGGCCTGGACCATGGCTTTAGCCATTTCCAGGAGGCGTGCATCCTGGTTTCAGTCGTCGGGCCTGTCGGTGGAGGTTCAGCACTCCATCCAGGACTTCCCCTTCGACGGCCTGGCACTGTTCGCGGAACAGACAGACAGCAATTACACGGCCTGAAAGACTCAAGGGCTACCTTGTGCTCGCTGGGCCTTTACATGCTGGTGCCTGTGAGAAAGTGGTTCAAACCACAGCAGTCCCACAGGTTTGGGGGCTTATCCAGTGAGACAGGTGGCTATAATCCTATACAAATTAGAAGAATTTAGCTCAGTCTAATTTAAACAAAAATCAAATGTATTTTCTTCTCTGAGTATTTTAGTTATTGATTTTTATACATATCCACTCTCCCAATCGAGGCAGCAATGATTAGTTAGAAGGAGTAGCTGGAAAGAATCTAGAATAGACCTTTGAAATGGGACCATTGTTAAGGCAAGCAAAGTTTGAAGACTGACAACCATCTTGACAATGTGCCTTCAATCACTTGCTGATTTTCTTTTTCCTTGTTTAGGTTCAGCGCACTATTGCCAAACAGATTCAGATGGTGCGGCAAGTTGGGAAAGGGCGATATGGTGAGGTGTGGATGGGTAAATGGCGAGGCGAAAAAGTGGCAGTCAAAGTATTTTTTACCACTGAGGAAGCCAGTTGGTTCAGAGAAACTGAGATTTACCAGACTGTTCTAATGCGTCATGAAAACATACTTGGTAAGTAAGCAGTTTGTAATTTGAATGGGTAGTGGAGGACTTGTATTTCAAAGAATTATAGTTGTTTCATGAAGAGTGTGGAGAAGTTCCTTTATGAAATCACTGGAGGAATGTAACATAGCATATAATAATAAAAATGCTATAATTATATGCAGACTATGGATCTTGCTTATTTTTAATGTTACAAATAACAGATCCTGACTTTTCTTCTTTTTGCTTGAGGACCAGCATTGTGACATCACATGAGGTTGAAACCTAAACTATAGCACTCCTGGTCCCCAAATAAGAAGTGATGGGTGTGTAAGGGGCTGTTGAGTCTTACTTTAAAATGAGTCTGCAGTTTTTTTTCATTTCCTGAAAAGTGTTCCAAGTAATGAATTATGTGGTTTTTATGTAACACTAAATGCTAACTCTGTTTATGCATTTGACAGGTTTTATAGCAGCTGATATTAAAGGCACAGGCTCCTGGACACAACTTTACTTGATTACAGATTACCATGAAAATGGATCCTTGTATGACTTCCTGAAATGTGCCACACTTGACAACAGGGCTTTGCTCAAACTGGCTTATTCTGCTGCATGTGGTCTGTGCCATCTACACACAGAAATTTATGGGACACAAGGCAAGCCTGCTATTGCACACAGGGACCTGAAGAGTAAAAATATCTTGATAAAGAAAAATGGAAGCTGCTGTATTGCTGACCTGGGTCTTGCTGTCAAATTTAACAGGTAGATGATCAAAGCCTATTAATAGTTGGTATCTTTTGCACGTATGTTGAAAGGCATCAAAGATCAAGTTGAAATAAATGAATTGAATAGTAAAATATATTACCTACAAAATTACTGTTTTGACTGTATTATTTAAAAATATGAAAAATTACTACAAAAACAATTGCTAATGTCTGAAGCAGCCACAAAATTTCACTTTCCCATACTAGTGCCAAAGAAACTGCAAGCCCTTGTCCAAGAATTGACATGGTAATTTCTAGTACAGTTTTTGTGGGTGTCTGGATAGTATGGTGATAGAACATTATAAATGCAGGTAATTTTGTAGAAATAGGTTGTTTTTTGTTGTGTTTTTGTAAAGCTCATTGTAACCTGCTCAGTGTGCTCAAAATGTTCCTATTAGAAATAAGAGTATTTTAGGTCTAATATAGGGGTAAAAACTGTACATGTAAAGCTTATAGTGGAATGCATGGGCTTACCAATGTCTTGAAGTGGATATCAAATCCTAGAACACAAGAAAACTTCAGCATGAGTATTGATGTGTAGAACTGTGGATATTAGTAATGCATTTTGAGTCTTGAACATTTGGAATTGTCTGCTTCTGTCTGTTTAGTCGTGTGTGCAGTTTTTTTTTTTTTTTTTGCAAAGCAGTCACATGAACCTTTCTGTTGGGTATTTTATAATCTTTTTTTATTTAATCTGTCTAAAAGAAGCATAATATATTATAAGCTGTAATATTGGAAGGAGGATTTGAGAAAGAGATCGTTAATTTAATTATAGTTCATAATTTTACTTCGTACAATAATAATTGCATCTTTTTGCAAGACATCTGTTTCTTTGTACTGCTCCACAGTTCATTTAACCTTTATTATTTACATTTAGTGATACGAATGAAGTTGATGTCCCTTTGAATACTAGAGTGGGAACAAAACGTTACATGGCCCCAGAAGTCCTAGATGAAAGCCTAAATAAAAATCATTTCCAACCATATATCATGGCTGACATCTACAGTTTTGGCTTGATCATTTGGGAAATGGCTCGACGTTGTGTCACAGGAGGTAAGCCTTTAAATCTTGTGTTTCAAAATTTATTTACAAAACTAAGTTTTCAAAAGAATTTACCCAATACCTCTAATCCAAGGACTAAACCTTCTGAAGAGGATGGAAAATACTTGAGTCCTACCGCTTGCCCTGTGTCTCAAGGGCAGGCACCCTGCATTTTAAAAGAACAAAACATCTGTGTGATTCACTTAATTGTAACACTGTCAATCAACTGTCTTCTTAATTCATTTTTTATAACATAACTTACTATTTCTCTCTTGCTTTTTTTATACCTTCATACTGTGCCTGGTTCCACTCTACTCTTCCTCTTCTTTCCTATGATAGATGACTTGTGTATCTTTTTTTCTTGCATTGTTTTCAATATCTATTTCCCCTTTTTTTGGTCTTATTCCTGTGCCTCCTTACCTATCTCTTTCCCTACATTGTGTTCTCTATCTCCATCCCATATTTTCTGTCTTCTACTTCTTCCCAAATTTGCACTCTCTCTTTTCAAGAATTTGTAAGTTCTTCTTCAAGTGATGTCCTTGTGGGTGCTCCACTTTAGGTGGTTGAGTGCCCCTCCACTTGTAATCGGAGATTTGTGGTAGCAGTGCCTGGTTGGGTTGCACATGTGCAGTCCCAGTCTCACGCTGCCGTAAGCAGTTAACTGACGCTGTGTGACCAACCCCCCCAACTCCCCTTCCTTTACCACCTTTGGCTTGAATAAGAGCATTCAGCAGTGCCTCATAGCTTAGTATTTTACTCCTTTTCCATTAGTTCTTTGACTAGCTAATTTGCCTTCCCACTTTCTCCATGTTTCTTTTTTCTTCCAAAAAAAAAAAAAGTTTATTTCTTTCCCTCAGTAGAAGCTAGTATTTTGTTTCACTGTTAGAGTAGTGTTAGTTCTCCCCTCATGGGGAAGGGGGAAATACTCCCCTCAGGGGCATGCCCGGTTCACTGGGCTTTAAACACTGCCTGACCTGCAGGCTTTCAGTACCTATTTCAGATGGACAATCTTAGTGTGGTCACTTTTCTTCCTCCTTCCCGGATGATATCATCATGCCTCCTTCCCCTCCCCCCCATGAATGATGCAATCATGGAACCTGTCAAGCACGTCTGGCAGACCGCTGCAACAATCGCTCCAACCTGCAAGAGGTCCGACAGGAAATATTATATCCCTGCAAAGGGAAGAGAGTTTCTTCTTCGTGTGATTGCTCATGTGCATTCCAATAGGTGTGCGCGCGCGTCGCGTGCACAGTCATCAGAAGGTTTTTCCCCAGCGTACCCGTCGGGTCGGCTGTGGAGACCCCTGCAGTGGCGCCTTTAAGGCGGTGTATATAGGTCCCTGCCAACCCGCTGCCTGCTCAGTTGCTTCTTGGTTCCAGTCCTGCCAGTGACAGTCATTGGAGCAGCTCAGTCTCTTGCATTCACAAGTGCCTACCTAGTGGTGCCCTTTTCTTAGTTGCATATAGTTGTTCATTTTATATTAGTTGTAGATTAGTTGGACTTACTTCGGGGGGCTTCCCCCTCGTCCTAGTTTCCCCAGGCGCCAGGGCATGCCTCGGTCGCAGGCGTTTAAGGTGTGCGAGAGGTGCGCGAAACCTATGCCCACAGGCGATCTGCATGCTGCCTGTCTCAAGTGTTTAGGAAAGGGACATCAGGCAGATAAGTGCCCAATTTGCAGGAGCTTCAGACCCAGAACTGAGAGTGGGACTATCGTTTGAAGCTCCTCCTGATGCAGTTGGCCCTCCACCGGAAGCGGCACTGGCATCCTTGGTGCGCAGCGCTGTGGCCTAAGTGTGGGATGTTCCGGTTCCGAGGAAGAACTCCTCCAAGGAGCACCGACGCTGCTCCCCAACCCGTAAGACCAGTGCCACGAGGCGGCACCATTCGCAGTCCCCGGTGCCGCATAAGAAAAAGAAGGCTGACAGGGTCATTTCCTCCTTCAAGAAGCTGCGAGGGGACTCAAGCGGGGTGCGTCCTCCGGCAGGACACCCACGGTCTGGGCCTCAAGACCCGGCGCCATTGACTCCGGCCCCAACGGGAGGCTCGTCGAGTCCAGTGCTGATGGATTCCCCGACTTGGGAGGATTTGACGGAAGAGCTCGACCTTCCCTCCACATCGGACAACCTGTGAGGCAGCGCAAGACCTCATTGCCATGATGGTGCAGGCCCAGGCACTGTCAGCAGCACCGGTGGCGGCACTGGCTGCAGTCTAGCCCGGCACCATATGTGGCTCCAGCACCTTTTGCAGCACCAATGGCGGCACTGCCTCTGGTTCATCATCGTGGCAAGCCTATGATGTTACGGCGCTGCCCACCATCTCCCTGGTACCACTCCCTGGTGCCATCCGACTCCGCCTCCCGTGGTCGAGCACCTACTACTCGTCTGAGTCAGACGCTGAGTCTCTCAACTCAGCCACTACTGGTCCCAGCACCACAGACCAGTGGAATCATTGGTACATGTGATCGCCTGGCCATCCCAGTGGCAGGGCTCAGTCCAATGGCCCTTTTGGTCCCCTTAGGCCTACCACCAGGCTCAGGGTTCCAGGCTGGCATCGGTGGCATCTGCATCCTGTGCCGCCCCCTCAGCAACGTGGCTGGCTCACTACACCCCCAGGGCTCCTGAGGACTCCATACGAGACAGGGACTGTCGGCTGTCATGCTCAGGCACAGCACCCGATCCAGCGCCATCAGTGACACTAGAGCCGCTTCCAGTCATGGGAGACTCCGAAGTACCTGACCCAACCACCAGAGAGCTGGAAGGGCAGGAAGACCCTGTCCCACGGGCCTTCTCCTGTTCCTCGCCAGACAAGGCGGTGGCGGGCACCACCACCACCCTGTCAGTGATGGACACCAAGGGTCACCAGGACCTCCTTAGGAGGGTGGCCCTAAACCTTAATCTCCAGGCAGAGGAGGTCATGGAGGAGTCTGACCCAATGGTGGACATCCTTACCCCTTGAGGGTCCTTCTAGGGTGGCCTTGCCCCTCATAAGAACGATCCAAATCACCACTAAGGTGCTTTGGCAGACTCTGGCCTCTATACCACCCATTGCTAAAGGGGTGGAAAGATGGTATTTTGTGCCGCAGAAAGTGTACAAACACCTTATCACCCACCCCCAGCCGGGGACTGTGGTGGTCAATGCGGCAGACCACAAAGAGTGGCAAGGGCTGCCGGGTCCCGCGCCTAAGTCACGGGATGCTAAGAAGCTTGACCTTTTCGGCCGAAAAGTCTACTCAACTGGGGGGCTCCAGCTTTGAGTGGCCAGCCAGGAAGAGGTCCTCAGCTGCTATGCTTTCAACTCTTGGAGCTCGTTGACAAAGTTCCAGGAGTTACTCCCGGCTGACTCGCGCAAGGAGTTTAGCGTGCTCCTTGAGGAGGGCAGGGTATTCTCTAGAACCTCCCTCCAGGCCGCACTGGACGTGGCGGACTCGGCAGCTAAGACAATCGCCACTGCCATCACAATGAGGCGCAGCGCGTGGCTCCAGATCTCAGGGATACCACCTGAGATCCAGAACACTATACAGGACCTCCCCTTTGACTGTGCAGGCCTGTTCGCCAAAATACGGACTCTCACCTGCACAGCCTTAAGGACTCGCAGGCAACTTTGAAGTCTTTGGGGATCAACACCCCAGCACCTCAGAGAAAGCTTTTAAGCCTCAGCCCCCGTCCCGCTTCTACTCTGGGCCTCCTAGGCGAGACTCTCCAAGGAGACGGGGCAGAAACAATAGGAGGCGCTCGCCACAGTCCTCCTCAGGCCAAGACCAGGGTTCAGCCCCCTGGCCCGAAGCCAAACTTTTGAAGATGCGCCCAAGGACGGAGCATCGGTTTCAGTCTCGGATCCTTACCCCCCCTTTGTGAATCGACTCTCCCGCTGCTACCGTTCTTGGTCCCAGATCATGTCAGATCGTTGGGTCCTCAGCACGGTAGGGGCGGGATGTTCTATCCAATTCTGTTCCCTCCCACCCCCCTTCCCCGTCCCTTTTCAGGGACCCTTCTCACGAGCAACTCCTCTTGCAGGAGGTGCAATCACTCCTCGCTCTAGGGGCAATAGAGGAGGTTCCTCAGGAGTTCAGGGGTCAAGGGGTTCTACTCCTGCTATTTCCTCATCCCCAAGGCCAAGGTGGGCTCTGGCCTATCCTGGACCTGTGAGATCTCAACACATTCATAAGGAAGGTGAAGTTCTACATGATCTCTTTGGCCACCATCATTCCTTCCCTGGATCCGGGGGTCTGGTACGCCGCCATCGACTTGAAAGATGCGTACTTCCATATATCTAGTATACTGGCCCACAGATAATTCCTGAGATTCATAGTCAGTGGCCAGCACTATCAGTTCAGTGTGCTCCCGTACGTGTTCTTGGCGGCCTTCTGGGTATTCACCAAGTGTATGGCGGTCGTGGCAGCCTTCCTCCGCAAACGTCAGGTGCAAGTATTCCTGTACCTAGAAGACTGGCTTATCAAGGCCGAGTCCCAAGCACGGGCCGCAGAGCATGTGTCCCTGGCCCGGGCCACATTCCACATGCTGGGCCTCATATTGAACGTGCCCAAATCCACACTGGTCCCGACGCAGAGAATAGAATTCATAGGGGCTCTCTTGGAATCCACGCAGGCCAGGGCGTTCCTGCCGGAGCTGCGCTTCCAATCATTTACCGACATTATCGAGCACCTTCGCCGGTTTCCCACAACCATGGCCAGAAATTGCATGAAACTATTGGGGCATGTGGAAGCCTGCACATATGTGATCCAGCATGCCAGGTTACGCCTTCGGCCACTCCAGGCATAGTTGGCGCGGGTGCATGGGCCGGGCAGGGACCCGCTGGACACGATAGTTATCCTCTCCCCTCGCATCCTCGAGTCTCTCCACTGGTGGCTGCAACCACAAGTTGTTTGTGCGGGAGTACCCTTTGCCAAACCCCATTCTATGCTGTTGGGGAGCGCACCTGGGCAATATCAGGACCCAAGGCCTATGGTCCCACACAGAACTATTGCTGCATATCAATGTAAGGGAGCTGAGGGC